GTCAAGGCTAGTCAAGAAATGGCAACCTTCAGACACATTAAGCGTAAGTGAAGGTAAGTGAAGAGGAAGTCATTGACAGCCCATTTGCTTTTATATTATCTATTTACATAGGATGAACTATCCTCTGTGCCTATTATCTTTTTTCCCTAGATAATATGGTTGCTTTGACTTATGAGACAATACAGCTCTGCTTTGTATTTGCTGTCCTCAACTAAAACACATTTTTGTCAACTGAAAGTATTTTTGGTTTTTGTCGAATTGATAAAATGATTTGGAAAAATACATCAAATGATCCGTCTTGTGTTATTGTTTCTCCGTCATTGAATGCTACCGCGCAGAATGATACATGGCTCAGAATCTAGAGCAGTGGTTCCCAACTGGTTCAGCTACATGGTCCAAATTTCTCCTTAGTTCAGTGTCTTACTTGCATTTGACCATGTCTTCGAACTAGTTTGGTGTTTCTGTCAACTCTAGTGCAGGAAATGGCACTTAAGTTTACATAAGAATGTCACCAATACTTTAGCCAGCATGATGCCTCAACAAACAGGAGGGTTTTACTGACCATTATAATTTTCTGTTCTCCCCCACCTACTTGACGCAAGTCCAAAGAAAAATAAGACAACACTTAATAATGCTCTGACACACCAAGCCGAGGGTCAGCCATCAGTAAATGTTGGGCCATCAGTGAGCGTCTGTCCCCCTAGTCTTTACGGTGTGTCCCGCACCGTTGGCCCTCGTCTGCCCTTGTTGGCCCTTGTTGGCTTTTTTTCAGCTGATTAAGCATATTGAATTGGCGGCAGAAAGGGTTGGGCCAGTTGGTGAATGATGTCACTCTGATTGGCAATTCAGCTCAGCATAAGAGAAGAGAAACGGAAGTGAGGAAAGTAAACAAAGAGCTGAAGTCAAGAGGAAACACAGTCAGAGAAAGTGTTATATTAAGTATGATTATTTTTTTTAAGCCATTAAGCTCTTCAGCAGAAACTGTTTATAGTTGTTTTTGTTCGCTAGTGCACGGTAAATGTCATTTGGTCTTTCAACATCAGGTTGTGTTGCTAATGAGCTAACGGGCTTGCCAGCATCATGATAGTCTTCCAGTTTCCCTTTTTGAATGGCGATTACAGACTACCACCATCTGCTGGTGTGGAGAGTTACTTCCTTTCATGCAGGTGCAGAATGTATGTGCTGGTTGGCCATCAGCTATAGTCTTTGCGGAGTGTTCATGTGCAACTTTCTGGCCGAGACATGGCGACATGAGGCAGCGCAACAGTTGGCTTTCATTGACACTAGTTCTTTGATGTCAGTTTGTGGTGTCTGGGCCTAAAGACGACACAGCATAGCTCACCGGTAGCCTGCAGCTGCACTGTTGGAGTGGAAGAGGCACAGTCTTGATAGTCATTAGTTTGCCAAAACCTGACAATGAGCCAAAAATCTGTTGTTTGTAGTTTTACCCACCAACAACTTCAACCTGCAGCTCGAGTATGGCGTTAACCACATTGTTTGTGTAGTGTCACAGAGCTGGTCTGTTTGTCAGCAGAGGCATCCATTGTTAATTAAATCTCAAACAGATTAATTTTGGGCTACTCCTGTAAAGGTACTATCATTTTATATGTACTTTCTTGTATATATTAACAGGTGTTAATTGCTTTTTTAAAAATAAGTAAAAGATTTTTTCGTTTTCCAATTCCAATGTCTGAATAACCTTGAGAATTAAGAGTTCATTGCTTCAAAGGTGTACTTGTGTTTTTATGCTGTCATCATTATATCAGTGGCATAAAATACTCTCAAAATGACAATAACACCATTTATCACAATTAATTCAATATATTCAATATATATTTATATATTTTGGCGGACAATTTATTGTCCAACAAAAGTTACTACTACTGATGAAGGTCCAAGTGTTCAGTGATAGTATTACTGCAGTAATGTTTTAGATACCAACCAGCAGTAGTGGTGACATTTTGACATGTAGCTATTAAGTGGAAAAGTGGATGTTCAGTGAAGTGTGTGTTTGTTGTGTCTCTGCAGACAATATTAAGACCTAACCAAACTATTTTTTACTCTGGTGTGAGTATCAGTGGAAACTCAGACCTTACTGAGGCATTGTAATTGTTTGGGGATGTTCAGTTGTCACCACTGGACTATCTAAATAAAGTACAGCAGTAATAATTGCTTGTAACTTAAGTACAAGCATGTTTTTGTTTTTTTTTTAAAAAAGAATGATTTATAAGAAATGTTAAATGATTTCTCATACTTGCGGGCTGAACTGTTTCATGCTGAGGTTTCAGCGGCTCTCTTCCAAAGCCTCACGCTGACTGCTGATTGAAAACAGTTGTTGATTCTCTACTTCAGTAAATTCAGACTGGTAAGAGAGACGAGGAGGAAAAAAAAAAAACTTTATCCCCTAACACAGAACAGATTGCGGGAAAACAAGACCTCACTGTGTGGAAATTAATGGCAGATGCACTTACTAGTAGTTTAAATGTTTCATTAGATGCTAATGTCTTGCTGTGTCTTTAATTGTTGTGAAATTAGCCTCTGGAATATTAAAACCATCTGTCTGTTATCTTCCTGCAGGGCCAGTTCTTACCCAGGCTGCGCAAATACAGTAAGGTCATTAAATAAATGCATCCGTGTGCCTCAACCTGCCTCTTAATTAATGTCTTTATGCTATTGCATCAGTACACACCAGTCTGGGGCATCTGCACACACATTCCTCCGCCTTAGATCTCTGCTGAATGGGGTGAAGTGCATCGGGTTTCATTACAGGAAGTTTAAACCTGAGGTTTAAAAGGCTATAAAAATACAGAATGACCTGTACGCTGTAACAAGTTGGAGTGATCTGATGAGTGCTGTTATCGCAGAGGTCACAGAGACTGCCCCCCCTGCACCCGCACACATGGGCTTCTCATTTAGATTTATCATCAGACAGCAGGTCATTAAATACCAACTTCACTTTTTGATGGCACTGACCACCAGCATTCCCTCCATTTGCTTAAGACATCCATTAATCACTCCGTAAAAAGAAATAAATCCATCATCTGCACCTCTGAAAGGCGAGAGTGGATGGAAAAAAAAAAACACAATTCTCTGAAGTAATTTAAGGGAGCTCAAGGGGAAATTAAAGGGAACAAGCTGAGGGATACGTTTTCAAATAGCTGTGTAATCAGGTCCCGAGCTATGTAATAGCCCTGAAAGATGAGCTGCTCTTTATTGGAATGTCTTTATTAGACATGTTCTTCAGACATTACACAGATTTAAATTTGCGCAAGATTTCTGATTTCATGGAGTACTCTGGCACTGATAAGCCAGAATACAGACGATGTGATTATGTGGTTTCACTACTGTGGAGTCAGTTTGATACCACATTGATTAATAAAAGACAAATCTCTATATCTCTCCCACACTCGCCTGATTATATTCTTTATACACTTAAGTTTGGGCTGCGAATATGTGATGCAGGAGTCAGCAACAGCTTCCAGGTCCGCGTATGTTTTTTTTCTTTTTTGTCTGTGTGTGTGCACATTCATAAATGCATGAGTATGCTGGCGCGCGCTGCCCGGTGTTGTCAGCAGGGACACAGGCTGGTTAATAAATATTATAGGTCAACATGTTTTGATGAAGGAGCCGCAGACCGAGGCGTGAACAGCGTCCCTAGCCCTTTCTTCAAGGATCAGTTCACAGGCCGGGGTGGATGAGATATTATTCCCCTTTTCTCTCTAAAAATATGTAAACTCCCCTCAGACAAACTGGCATTTACAAGAAAAAGAGAGAAAATGTGCCCTGGTTTTAGTGGGAATAAAACGTGTTGGAGGTAATTAGTGCTATCACAGCGCAGGGCATTGGTGTGCATGTGTCTGTGCATGTGCCACATTTCCTGTGTGCTCTTGTCTCAGTCCGCGTAGACACACATGTATGCGCGCATACTCAGACACGTGCACACACAGAGTCAAACGGGCCCATCAGGCATTCCCAGTGCTCGAACTCTCTTATCACGTTCAGCACTCTGGCGAATCCACCCGCCTTCCACCCATCATGCAATTCTCTCAAGGAATAGGATTCCTTTCACACCGCTAATGGCTACAGAAAAGGGAACATTTTCATTTTAATTATCCGCTCAACTCAAGGGTTCTTTTGGTATTCCCACACCTTGTGCCCTTTCATCGCACTAAATGATGGCCGATACCTGAAAAGAGAATACTGAAGGTAAAAAAAAACATATACTGTAGCTCTGTCCCTTTCCTCCGGAGCAGGGGAGGGAGGGGAAAGGAGAGTGCCATCATCCTTGAGTCCAAGTCCTTTGTGTGTGCAGCGCCACGCTCTGCTTTTCCTATTAGTTGGCAGAGCAGCCATTTACTGCACTGTCCCATAAAGCCATCTTTTTATGTGCTTTGAAATGAAACCTGCAGCATTTGTCTGGTCTGGAAGGAGCAGCATGGGAGCTTCAGTGGGACATCAATCGCAGACTTGGACAGAGAGTACAGACCCCACCTCCTTCCACTCAGCTCCGCACTCCCAAGAGTCTTTTATTGTTCCACAGATTCTGAAGGGCCTCAGATGCTCACGAATTGGCACGTCCTCCTCTTTATTCTTGTCATTTTGCTGCATCTCGAACAGAGTGTCTAGAGGATGACACTTGCTGAGCTCCTGCTGCCTCGGCATGTGGTGTCTGCTTGGAAAGGATAGTGGCTCCATTTGAAGGTTCTGGAGGGGTCTTTGTCCCTGTTCTCTATTCCGTGGACTGAGAGGAGTTTCATACTGCGAGATCAGATGGCGTCTATCATTGGCAAGCGGAGTGATGGCCGCTGAATAGGCTCAGAAACATGACAGATTTACAGAGACAGCGCCGCAGCTCCTGCCAGTTCTCACATATTCATGAGCCGATTTCTGTGGGATGCCTTCCCCAGCCAGCGTTATCCATGTAAAGCCCTAAACTGCAGTGTTAACAGTTTTGCTTCATGTCGTTAACCCTTGGTCTCCTTGTGTTTTGTGTTTGGCAGCTGAAGCCGGGGCAGAACAACTGTAAGGACAGCGACAGCGAGAGTGTAAGTGGGGAGTCCAAGCCTTCCATCAGGAGCAGCTCCAGAGACAGACTGACAGATGTGAGTACATTAACACACAAGATCACTGCTTGACAGCTCACTGCTTCAGTGGGGGTTTGAGGTTCTGTCACAGGGTGTATTTCAACCTCTGCTGACAGTGAGTCATCCTCTCACTAATTAATCATTTAAAATAAAAAAAACTCTGTTGTGTCCTTAGCACATGGGTTTAGCATTTCACATATAGACAAAAAAAGAAGAAATAATTGGGGACAATAATTCAAAACCCCAATTTTTAGCAAATATTTTACTTACCAGCATGACATGCATTGGTCAAAGTCCCAAATTTTTTGGCAAAACTAGCATATCTGCAGTACCTAATTGTGCCCTGTGGAGTTTTCTTGTTAACAAACAAAAGTTATGTTTACATGAAGTGTTTATCTCCAGAACACATTGTGTGTATAATGTTGTCTACAAGTATTATAAATGTATTCCCCTCCTCATAACATAATGTATTTGCAAAGCCTACTTTTCTTGTTGCTGCCAGGGTTGGGTACCATTCATTTTTGAACCAACACTGACACTGGTTCCGGTACCTGGAATTTGGTACTGGTACCCAACGCTACCTTGTTTCAGTACTTTACTTTGTCTGTAATAACTGAAACTAAATTTCTAAAGATGCAGACTAAGGTCTAATTTACTGCCAATGTTAGATATAGAGACGCAGACAGACCAAACCTTCTGTCCGTTCACTGCGTCCATTTTGTCCGTATTTGTTTCCTGAAAGGTTGTAGATACGGACGAAACGGAGCAGTACCACCAGAGATTGCGGAGGCAGTCTAGCGTAGTTCAAGTGAGATATGACCATTGGAGAAGACGGAGAAATTCAAATAATGGCGTAACGGAACAAAACGGTAATATAGTGAAAAGAATTCTCCGACATGTTGTGATGGCCGCACAGACCACCACGGGCCACAACACTGCCTTCTTTTTAAGATAAAATTTTACGACTTCCACCATTGCCTTGTTTGTTGTAGTGTGAGACTTTTGACTCAGAAAGGGTGGATGAAGTATAAGCGCAGTGACGTTTACAACATTTGAAATGGACATATGTATTTTGCGTACATAAAGGGAGTATAAATTTGCCTTAAAATGCAGTTCAGTTCCTCTGCTCCTTTCTAATCACACAGAAATCTAAACTTCTGTCTCTATCTGCCTGAGCTGCAGTGATAGTTTTGGCCCACTTGGAAGCTAAAGGAGCAGCCCCAAAGCTCCATGGTGGGTTTCCTGCCTTCAGGGCCCATCCACGTCCTGTCTGAAGTTGAACCCAGCAGCGGAGCCCTAGGGTTAGCTTCAAGGCTTCAGGTTGCTTTGCAGCACTTTTGCCTCTTGTCCAAACCCAGCGTTCTCACTCAGATGTGCTCTCTACCATCATTTAGCACCAGTGTTTTTGACATGAATCAGCACTTGATAGTACCAACGTAATTCGGTCCATACCCTTTAAAAGTCCAGAGTTTGGTACCCAACCCTCATGGCGGCATTTCTTGGCTCTTTACCACTACCTTTTGAATCAGTGGAATAGTGTGACACCATTGGCAGGAAAGTGTATCGCAGCACCTGCATGCACATGGGCCTACATATGTGTCCTGGCATGTGTGTACAGACAAACAAAACAGGATGCACTCATTGGAAATATGCTTCAGAGGGCTACCAGTGGTCAGAAATTCAACAGAATACCTCTGATAACTCGTATTATACAAAGATGTCAGAGAGACATGAGATTTGCAGCTCCTAAACAATGTTGAACAAACACGGGACAAGTTTACAGACCTGACTCATTATAGTTACCATGAAACTTCTGTTTGAGTGATATGTAAAGGTTAAAGATGAAGTATTAGTAGTGGTAAAAGTTCTACAGTTGGTACAGGAAATTAATATATACTAATATATAAGCAATTTTTTTGCATGAATTATTCATGAGTTGCATTACTTGGGGCACAACCTTTGCAGGAAACAATGTCATGTGGACAGAATACCTGTATACATACAACTTTATGTCAAACTACCTGCTTAATAATTACATGTAACAGTAAAAACCTTTCAGAGACGTTCTATGCTATAAAGCTGGAGAGTTAGGTCGGTACAAACGTTATAAATTCCACTCAAGTTTTATTCAAGAGTCAACGTATGTATGTGGCCTTGCACCTTCAGTGTGTCACAGACAAAAGGTAAGTTATGAATGTGATATAATCAATTGTGTCAAGATTTCTTTTGGTGTTGAAACAATAAACTTCAGCCTCAGCAGAGCACTTTGTGGTAAATCTTAAATGTCTTAAGTGCACTCTTCAGGTGAAGAGCACTATTTGCATTCTGTGCACGCATGCACGTGTACACACACACACACACACACACACACACACGCTCTCCCAGAGGCTCTTTATGACTGATAGAAAAGAAGACACTACTTACCCAGGTCCTTGTTCCTTGTGGAGGAGCTGAAGGCAGGCATTAACTGACAGAAGAAAGCGCGACCATGTGTCCCCGCGCCCTGTGACATATTCCAAGATGTAAAGCAAGCAGACTTGAGGGACCTTGCTGCCAGACACCCACCCTTGCTCTTTGATTTGTGTGGAGAATCTACAGTGAAGCAATCAGATATCGGGCCATAATTAAAGCTGTCAGTTGGGAAGCGAGCTAGTCTTTGAGAAAGACATGGCCGAACAACTGAAGCAAGACTGATTCTGCATGTAGCTTTACGATGCTTGACTGGGCATGAAATGAAATAAGTAATTTGATGTTGACAACAGAAATTGAAATGATACTCACTGATTTCTGTCTGACTGCACCGCGGTGACTGTGCAGCACTATACCATGTCAAATGTTGCTTAAACAATGGGGCTTTGACATTTAGCCTATGAACGGATGCTTTACTGTGACTGTCATACAGGATGAGAAAAGCATTCAGGCAGTCATCTGTTGTGTCGTGAGCTACAAAAACTGAAACATTAACAAAATACTACAACTGCAGTATAGATATTAAGCGACAATGTATTATAAAATACAGTACAAATATATGTAATGGTTTACCCTTAAAGCAAATCTTACCTTTCTTGCATTTCACACAGCACTTAGAAAAAATTTGAACATCCACAACTCCCACCTCCCTCCAAAAGCCTACTCCCCCCTCCTCCATTACGTCCTCATTATGACTATGATAGATGTAGGCGTTGGCAAGGTAACATTAGATACACGGAAGAGGAGAGCGAGTGTAACGTTACAACCAAGACAGTCAAAAGCAACCCAAGAGTTTTAAAACTCAACCGGAGTCAGTGATGACTGATGAGTTTTAGAATAAGGTTACAGTGCTAACGTTAGATAGTAGAATTAACGTTAATAAAAAGTGGAAACGCACAAGGAAGATAACGCTAATGTTTCAGAGGCTACACTACAGTAGGCTAACGTTAGCCATTAGCAACTGGATGCTGTGTTGTCATATAACATTATGAAATGAACTGAACTTATTTATTGTATTATTGTATACTGTACTTATTCATTTTTGTCATTTGTCATTTGGAGTCCGAATGCAGTGATTGGTGGGAGTTTTCTTAGAACCATATGAGAATGGTATAATTATGAGTTTTTATCTCTGGTGGAATTCACTTACATTTTAGTGTGCCATCAGCTTATTAATAGCATTTTAAGCTAAACAAAAAAAAAGCATACAATTTCCAGAAAGATAAGTGTCGCTTTAATGTATGAGAGCTGGTTTTCCAGTTTCTTAAAATTTGATTCCCAGGTTTGAGAGATCACCTTAAAGTCCCAGTGACACGGAAGTTGGATCTTTAGCTTCTGAACTGACATATTTCCCAGTAAAACGTAGTGTTTGAGTGATGTACAGTTACAAAAGGGATTCAAACCAAATTCTTCACATTTGATGGGGACGCTAAAAAAGGGAGCGGATTTACAATTTAGCAGGGGTGGGGGAAAAACCAATACAACGTAGCATTGCGATTCTGTTCCTGACACAAAGTGCCAAGTATCTATTTTTTTATTATATCCATTAATAATATGAAAAATATGTATTAAAATTTAGGTAGCCTACTAGAATAACATAATTAATTGCTTTTTCAGTCCACTAGATACATTTTGCTGCAAAACAATGGTTGAGGTGAGAAGAACACAATTAAAACTTTAACTTATTAGATAAAACAGATGTTGACAGAGTTTTTCTTCTTTCTTTTTCTACAAAATTTACAGTTAAAAAAAGGCAATAAATCGCGATATATATCTTATCGCAATACTCAGCATATCACAACATATTCAAAATAATATTGTATCGTGACTTAAGTATCATGATAATATCGTATCATGGATCCTCTGGTGATTCCCACACTACAATTTAGCATGATACAGAGTTACAGTGGGGTGTGCTGCTGAGCGTACTGCTCCACACACACACATCCCTCACATAGGGCATGTACAAAATGAAAAGGGTGTGCACTGTTTTGCTACTGTTGAATGACATGTTTCCTCAAAATACATGTATGTGAACGGGCTTTGAGGTAGGTTTTCTTGTGGGTTGTGGATGCGTCATAGCTGTTTCCAGATCAGCAGGGTAAGTAAACTCCATCATATTAAAGGCAGTGTGCTTGCATAACACAACAGGGTGTCAACGCACCACCGTTTCCCTTAAAATAAATGTTTTGCTATGTTGGGGCCAAACATGCCCCTGTTGTTAGATCAGGGGGATGATGAGATGACTGAATTAGTGATGGGCAAAGCAGTTCTTTAGATGTTACTGAATCACTAGAATCAGTTCATTAAAAAGGTTCGTTCACCAAATCGTTAAGTGCTTGGCGGGAGGAGCCCTGACTGTGTACTGCATAGTCCGACTCACTGAACTGATACACGGCTGAGTTGCTGCTGCGTCTGCCCTGCACTGGTGAGTCTCATTACTGGCTGGCCTAACGTTTTAAGTTTGTTTCATGTGTCTTGACTCCTGGCTACATTAGCCATTAGCTTGTAGAAAACAGTCCCTATGAAAGTGTATTGCTGAGAAGAAA